TGGGAGGAAGAGAATATTAAAATGGGGGGCGGGGGCAGAAAGGTCCAGTAAGGACTGAGCAGCTGGATTTCCGAACCAGGAGCAGTCCTTTATTTATTTATTATTTTTATTTATTTAAAACTTTTCTATACCGTCCCACACTTAAAAGTCTTGGGATGCTTTACAGCAACTAAACTGGTGGTTCCAGCATAAGGGTGGTGGTGTATCCACTCTGGGTTTCAGTCTGAACAGTACATGAGCCATGCATGGTGCTGATCCTGATTTGGGTCCAGCTCCACGGAGACCACCGTAACAGTTGTTGTTAGTTGCAAAGTCGTGTCCGACCCACCGTGATCCCATGGACAACATTCCTCCAGGCCCTCCTGTCCTCCACCACCTTCCAGAGTCCACTTAAGTTCACACCAACTGCCCCAATGACTATCCAGCCACCTCATTCTCTGCCATCCCTTCTTTTGCTGTCAATTATTCCCAGCATTAGGCTCTTCTCCAGGGAGTCCTTCCTTCTCACTAGGTGGCCAAAGTATTTGAGTTTCATCTTCAGGATCTGGCCTTCTAAAGAGCAGTCAGGGTTGATCTCCTCTAGGACTAACCGGTTTGATCGCCTTGCAGTCCAAGGGACTCGCAGGAGTCTCCTCCAGCACCACAATTCAAAGGCCTCAATCCTTCGGCGCTCAGCCTTCCTTATGGTCCAGCTTTCACACCAATGCATTGCAACTGGGAAAACCGTAGCCTTGACTATACGCACTTTTGTTGGCAGGGTGATGTCTCTGCTTTTTAGGATGCTGTCTAGATTTGCCATAGCTTTCCTTGCAAGGAGCAAGCGTCTTTTAATTTCTTGGCTGCAGTCCCCAACTGCGGTGATCTTGGAGCCCAGGAAAATAAAATCTGTCACTACCTCCATTTCTTCCCCATCTATTTGCCAGGAAGTGATAGGACTGGATGCCATGATCTTAGTTTTCTTAATGTTAAGTTTCAAGCCAACTTTTGCACTCTCCTCCTTCACCCACATCAAGAAACTCTTTAGTTCCTCCTCACTTTCTGCCATGAGAGTGATATCATCTGCATATCTGTGGTTGTTGATATTTCTCCCAGCAATCTTACTTCCAACTTGTGCTTCATCCAGCCCCACAGAGAGGTCACACTGCTCCACAGATACTAGCACCCCCGATCCTTGCTGCTTCCTTTTCTCGCAATCTTGTCTTGCCAGATTGTCACATTTCATCTTCCAGCAGAGGAGAGGGGAGGTAAAGGAAATGGGCCAGACCCAGGACATGTGGCTACTCGTGTTCCTCCTAAAGAAGCCAAACAGTTCAATTGTGCTTCAGCTTGCTAAACTGACAGCACAGGGTCTCTGAGGATCTCAATTGCACCCAGTCCCCTTGGACAAGCCGGTGTGGGCCCTAGGAATTTTCCCTTCTGCTGCCCCCCATGAATTTTACTGCCTGTGGTATTTCTCTGAAATCAAATGCCGCCTTCTTCCTGTCCGGGCATCCCTTCTGACAAATGCTCTTAGCAGGAAAGGTCCTTCCAACACACAGAAAAAGTCCTACACCTGCGTACTCAGACCTCATCCCCATTCAGTTTGGCGAGGCTGATGCCCAGGTAAGTTCTTGCAGAACCTTCCTCAGCCTGTGGCCCCTGCAGCTGTGCGAGGCTTCAGTTCCCATCAGCCCCAGCTAATGGTCAGGAATGCTGAGAGTTATGGCCTAAAATATTTACAGGGTACCAGGTGGAGGGAAGCTAGTATACTGTGCCCCCCCCCACCCCCGTGGTGCTACCCTACACATGTTCAATCAGAAAAGTCCTGCATTTCTACATGCATATCTGTGCATTATTTTTGTTCTGTGGGCGGAACCACAAATCTTTGGGTCCCTTGCACCTTCTGATCCTGGTGGTGCAGCTTCTTCTTCCGCACTTGAGAGCAGCAGACAATTGTGAAGAGAAAAGGAGCCAAAGCCGCACCATAATATGGCCAAAGAAAGCCCAAAACTGAAAAGAGTAGTTTTAGCCCGTTCAGGTTGGCACCCGTGCTATTGTATTCCCAATTGCAATGTATAGGTGTGCAAGGGAGAGAGTGGAGGAAGCTGATGGGAAGGACATGGGTGCTGGAAGAGAGCTGGGTGGATACTCTGGACCGATAAAGATGGACAAGGCAGTGGGGCGGGGGGGGAGGTCCTAGATCAAATTAAGCAGAACTTTCCCTCGAAGCAGAAACGACAACACCGAGGCTGTCCCACATTGGACAGCTTGTGGGAAGGCTTGGGAAGGAGAACATCATGCT